CACAACAGTCCTGCCTCTCAGGTTCGAGTTTGGGGAGAGGTTGTGTGACGTGCTCACCATGGACTCGTGCACAAGTGTTGGTTAAACGGCAGCTGTCATAACAGTCTGCGAAGGAAACCTCCCCGAAACAGGCCGGGGGAGTCGTGGGCCTTCCTGAGTTTTCTTAACGCTAAAGTGGGAACCTTCTTAGCCTGCGGTTGGTGGGAATGTTTTCCTCGGCCATTCTCCATGCGTGGGAGCAGCATTGAGAAGTTTCGCGCCTTGTCGAAAAAGTCAATTTACAAAGAAATAAAAATGTTGACTGAGTCAGTGTGGCTACTGTGTTAAAACTTCCCCCAACGTGCTGGCTGCCACGTGAAGGCTTTGCATGTAGGGTTGGCCCCTTTGTACAGGGGAGTCCTTTGAAGTCCAGAGAGTTGAAGCGACTTTCCTAGGGGTGGACCTGGGATTTGTTGTGTCTGCAGAGATGGGGCTCTGGCTCTCTCTGGGAAACAGTCATTGGTACTGTTCATGGGGTGAGTAATCTACAGCTCACAGTGGGGTCTGTGGTCCCCCCTTCACCCGGCAGGGAGTCGACATCCGCCACAACAAAGACCGAAAGGTTCGGCGCAAGGAGCCCAAGAGCCAGGACATCTACCTAAGGCTGTTGGTCAAGGTGAGGTGGGGGCCTGTGACCCTTGGGCAGGGCCACCCCAAACCTGCAACGTCCAGGGCTTCCATGCTCGTGTGGCCCCAGGCTCCTCCCAGCGGCTTGCCAGCCGGGCTCACATCTCAGAACTTCTGGAAGTTCAGTGCTTCCAGCTTCTGTGCTGTATACAGCTCGGGGGTGAGGGGGGAGGATTTTCTGGGGCCCTGACCAGGGTGGACCTGGGCTGGCTCTCCCCGGAGCTCCCTGAGATCGGGGAAAGCCAGGAGGCATTTGTTTGCCCTTAGAACGTTGGGAGGGAGGGGAGCGTGGCCTGGAAGTTCTCGTTCCTCATTTTCCCTTTCCCTCCAGCTATACAGGTTTCTGGCCAGAAGAACCAACTCCACCTTCAACCAAGTGGTGCTGAAGAGGTTGTTCATGAGTCGCACCAACCGGCCGCCTCTGTCCCTTTCCCGGATGGTGAGGGGCTGCCGGGGGGACAGATCCAGCCTGGGGAGCAACTGGATTGTGTCGGGAGCTGGGCTCTGGGAAGGAGGGTGGGCTGGGAGCTCTGACCCTCAGGTTATAGTTCAGCTCCACTGGCTTGGCTGCTTGGCCTTGTTCTCCTTCCCCTTGTGAGGTGGGGTGGCTACGGTGGCTTCATGAGGTCATCCTGAGGCTTTGGGTCATGCGACACAGGTCTTAGATGTCAAGGACCCTCCTGGGGGAGGTCTGTTGAGAAACCTGGAACCTGAGCTTAGGCCTGTGCTAGTGTGAGAGATGGGTGAGGGGGGGTTTAGGGCCAGCTGTCCTGGTCCTTGGTTGCCTGAAGCTGCGGGATTGGATTCAAACGCCAGGCGGGACTGAATGTGGATCTCCTCCCCCCAAAGATCCGCAAGATGAAGCTTCCTGGCCGGGAGGGCAGAACCGCCGTGGTTGTGGGGACTGTAACCGATGACGTGAGGATCCAGGAGGTGCCCAAACTGAAGGTGAGTGGGGTGAAGTCCTGCTTCCCTGGGCAAGCCCCTCTGGGCGCTGCTGACTGCTGGCTCTTGAGCCAGACAACCTGGGTTTGAGTCTAGATCTCTCTGTCACTTTGTCACCTCTGGACAAAGTCCTAAACCTTTTTTCTTTGTTTGTTTAATATGTTTTTTATTGATTTCAGAGGAATGGAGAGATGGAAATATCAATGATGAGAATCATTGATTGGCTGCCTCCTGCATTCCCCACTCTGGGGATTGAGCCTTCAACCCAGCCATGTGCCCTTAACCGGAATCACACCTGGGACCCTTCAGTCCGAGGGCCAGTGCTCTATCCACTGAGGCCCTAAATCTTTTTATGCCTCAGTTTCCGTAAGGCGTAATGACTTTGGGTTGCTGCCTTCTAAGGGGTTTCTGGAAGTAAAGTGATAAAAACAGCTATTGTCCACTTGGGTTGCTCCCTCTAATAGGAGTTAGTTATAGGGCTGAGCAAGCAGCAGGGTTTCTCTGTGGGGCCAGAGCAGTGAACATAAGTCCCAGCAGCCCCTGGTGGCCATGCAGGGGGCTCTGGCTGGACCTGTCCTCTGTGTCCCCTAGGTGTGTGCCCTTCGTGTAAGCAGCCGCGCCCGGAGCCGCATCCTCAAGGCTGGGGGCAAGATTCTCACCTTCGACCAGCTGGCCCTGGACTCCCCCAAGGGCTGTGGCACCGTCTTGCTTTCTGGTGAGCGATGCTTAGTCTCCATGGTGGGGCCAGGTCCCTGTGTGAGTGAGGGGGTGAGCAGTGTGACTGGGACTTCCCCACCCCACCTCCCATCATCCGAGCCCAGGAAAGGGGCTCGTAGCAGGAGCTCTGGGTGCTGGGTTTCTGCCTGATCTGCCCCTTCCCACCCTCCCCAGGTCCTCGCAAGGCCCGAGAGGTGTACAGGCATTTCGGGAAGGCCCCAGGAACCCCCCACAGCCACACCAAGTGAGTATGCCAGCCTGTGCTTCAGACCTGACTCCCGCAGTGCAGTCTAGGTCTTGCCATGCATCTGTTTCTCACACCAGCCAGCCTCAGGCCTCCCTACAGCTCCCCGCCTCGTCCTACCCACTTACCTTCCAGACTCACAGCTGTGCTCCCTGTGCAGCTGGTGTTAAAGGGGCAGCTGGTTTAGGCCGAGTTGGCATCCTCCAGGTGGGGGTCAGCATTTTACCCGCCTCCGGGCTCTCAGGTTGACCCCCAGGGCCTGGTGCTGGCTTCACCGCCCACTTTGCCATCTTGGCTTCCTGCACTGCCAGGCTTGCCCAGTTGGTATCACTACTGAGGCCCCCCCTGGTGTCTGTGCTGCTCTGCTAGAGGCAGCATCACTGGCGGAGTTCCCAGCTACAAGCGGCCCTGACTTCCTTTCTCTTCCCCACAGACCCTACGTGCGATCCAAGGGCCGGAAGTTCGAGCATGCAAGAGGCCGCCGGGCCAGCCGCGGCTACAAAAACTAACCCTAAATCCTATCATGTTATTAAAGAGGTTTTGGATGCTGATGGCCCGGTGTGTGTTATTGGGGGGTGGAGTTGGGAGGTGAGCCTGTGGGCCAGGAGGCATTTGTTTGGGGGAATTGGACACCCGCGCAGGTCTCCATGGAGACTAGCCCCTCCTCCGCCCAGGTGTTCCTCCACCTGCCTTCCTTCCGCCTCAGCCTGCAGGCGCCCTCTGGCGGTCAGGTCTCTGCGCCTGTTGGACCCTTGCAGCCCACTATTGAGGAAGCCCCGCCTCCTTCCCGAGAGCCAGGTGTCAGGTGTTCCTGCACCTGCTTCCTGGGATTAGCCACACCCCTCTTAAAGGACCCGTGGTCCCCTCCCCTGCACTAAAGATACTGGGCAGGCTTGGACAGGGAAGTGTGGAGGTGGGGCTGCTGTGGGGACAGGTGAGGCACCCCCTTTCCTGAAACCTGAGTCTGGCGGGCCACTGGTCTCTGGGGAAGCAGCCTGGTGAGTGCTCCCAGGTTGGGACCTCATACCCTGGGCCCCACACCCCAGGCCTCCCCTGGGGACCTGCATGGGCCCTCCCTGTGTTTACACAAGGGGCTGGGTTCCCAGGATGCCAGGGTGAAGCCTGATGAATGAGGCCAGTCGGCCGGAGGAAGAAGCAGAAATCAGCTCAGGTTTGAAGACCCGGATTATATTGTCCCAAAAAGGCAAGAGGAGGGGCAGGGGGTGGCGAGCTGGCCGGGACAGGAGGGAGAGGGGACCTGGCTTTATTCCTCTTCCTTCTCTTGCAGGGCTAGTCGCTGTGCCCTGGAGGAAGGGGGCATCTGGGTGCTGGGATTGGAAGGCGGGGTTGCGCGAATTGGGGTCCACAGGTTGGGTCAGGATCTTCAAATGATGTAGAGTGGTCCTTGTCCAACTTCCTTTAGGCATAAGTATGCAGTCAGCTAGCAGGAGATAGTGGAATTCAGGCCCCAGAACCAGGGATCAGCATAGATCAGAGGACAGGCAGGGGCACCCAGTCTCAGGAGCGGTGGTCCTATCTAGGCTGCCCTTGGGCTAGAGGGGTTGAGGAGGTCATGGGCCGGTTCCAGGGTAATGAGACCCCCTGTGGAGCGCTTTCCCCACTGTAGCAGCCTGAGCGGGTGTGAAGGCCCACCCACTGGGGAGACCGAGTTCCTGGCTGGGGAGGGCGATGCCCAGGCTGAGGGCTGGAGCACATTTCTCCAGAGCTCAGGAGGGTCCAGAATGGTCGGCCGGTGAGAGCTGTGAGCTAGCCGGCCAGTTATCGGGAGAAGCATCTCCTGGACACAGCGGGGAGTTCCACGGGGTGGTCAGGCATTGAGCCTGTTGGTCTTCCAGCCAATCGAAGGGACAGCCAGAGGGTCAGGCAGCCCGCTCTCCCTTTGGTGAGAGACATTCAGGTGGTTGCAGCCAGGCAGGTAGCCTGTTGCCTGGAGATGGCCAGGCAGTAGTGGGCCTTGGGCCGGGACAGGTAGGTGGTCAGCCTGACCACGCCTGAGCCAGCGGGAGGGCCAGTGGGGCACCGTGTGGCCAGCAGGCTGGAGGCTGTCGTGTGCCGGAGCAGAGATGGGCAGCTGACAGGTCACCGAGTTCGGAGACAGTGCCCGGTGCTCAGCCAAACCCACATGCAGGACCACTTGTGGGGGCAGCCAGATCGTCACGCAGCTGACAGCAAGGTCGGATGGCCGGCCAGCCATGGCGGCTGCAGGCTGGCGGGCAGTTGGTCTGAGCAGCATCGGTCGGCCGGTCATTCGCGCAGCCTGATGGTCAGGACAGCACAGCGAGCCACTGGATTCCTCAGCTGCCCTGCAAGCCTGGCATAGGAAGCTGAAAGGAGACCCTGATGGTCAGTGCCTGGGAGACGGCCACACCCTCAGACACCCAGCCTCAAGGTCCGCCCCGGGAGCCCCATGGCGGCCTCGCAGCTGGCAGCCCTGGAAGGAGTGGCGTCGGAGGCCGGGGAGCCGCCCCTGACGGAGACCAGCCCGGGCTTCCTGTATTCCGAGGG